GGCGACACCACTCACGTGATCGGTGCCCACCCACTTCAGGAATGAAAATGCCCCACAGGCCATTTTCTCAATCAAGTCCTTTCTTCCCGAATAACTCTTAAGTTTGTGTCAGGTTGACGTAAAAGTAGCTAACACACCTTATAAGCAGACCATCTGAGGTTTGATTGAGCTGGATCTCAACTTCCACGCTTCCATTTTGGAGGTGACATATTCATAAATGTATTCTCTGAGAACACTAGGCCAGGCCTTAAAGCTCTAGGACTCCTTGCTTTGTGAGAGGTTCTGTGAAACAGGATACCCTGAAATCTATAGGTCTGAGATGTGTTCCACTTGACTTAGCCTGGTTCCACCTGTGTTCTTTATGTCTCTAGAACTTATGAATCTTCTAACTGGGCTGCTGCAGCCTTGCCCTGAGCAGCGGACCACTCTAGAGAAGCTGATCACAGACCCCTGGGTGACACAGCCTGTGAACCTTGCAAACTACACCTGGGAAGAGGTGTGTCGGACCAACCAGCCAGGTGAGAAGTCTCAGCTTCCCCTCCTCCTCCCTCCCTTTCCTGTGTCTTTGTTTGGGATAGGAAGTTGTGGCTATGGACTTCAGAGGTAGGACAAGTGCTTAGAGTAGCCTTGGCCAGGAGGGATGAGAAGGCCATGAAGTGTCAGCTGGTTGTCTGACTAGTCCAAAGAGAGTAAGGTGCTAACTATGGTGCTGTGGGGCTAGATGGGGGAGGGGGTGTCTCTTCAGACAAGACTTCCAAGCCCCAGGCCAGCTCCTGGGGAACCAGGCTGAGATTACCATCACCCCAGCATCTTAGCAGTACCTGTACTTCCAGAATATCACCACTGGAGTTTCAGAAGACACTGCCCACCCTCCCCCAACTTTGTTGTTCCTCAACAAAATATTTTAGAATCTTATTGCTACCATGTGATGTGTTTTCTTCATCCTTCAGAAAGTGGCTTGTTATCAGCTGCAAGTTTGGAGCTTGGGAGCAAGAGTCCAAGCGAAGTGGCTCACACAAAGGGTTTCGATGGGCTGCCTTCTCCCAGGGAGGCTCCTGGTGATCAGCACTGCCTGCATCTTGAGGACCCCTCTCTGCCAGTCAGCTGAACAAAAGTTCCCTCCTGCTATTCTCTACTCTGTTTGGGATTTGTATGGATTCAGGCTTCCTACATGAAGAAAGGAAATTTTGAAGAATTGGGATGACTTCCCCTTCTACAGATTCCTGTGCAAGTGCTAAAACAAAAAGCCTGCAATACTATGTATATTGGTTTTAGGTTTATGAAAGATTTGTAGTTCATGGGTTTGTGTGTGTGTGTTTTTTATAACCTTGAAAAAGCATTCTAGTGTTCAATTACTTTGTACTATTAAAGTGCTTTAAGTTATGAGCCTCGGAAAGGAGTATTTTAAGATTTATTTATTTATTATGTATACATCATTCCTCCTGCATGTATCCCTGCAGGCCAGAAGAGGGCACCAGATCTCATTAAAGATGGCTGTGAGCCACCATGTGGGTGCTGGGAATTGAACTCAGGACCTCTGGAAGAGCTGCCAGTGTTCTTAATCTCTGAGCCATCTCTCCAGCCCTGAAAGGAGTATTTAAATTCTTTATTTTTGTTGTTTTGTTCTTTGCTTTTAAGTTTTTGAGACAGGATCTGACCATGTAACTGTGGCTGACCTTGAAGTCAATGGAGATCTGCCTGCCTCCTGAGGGGTAGGATTAAAGCTGTGTGGCACTGTGCCCGGCTCTTTCTGTGTGTGTGTGCATGGGGTGGGGGTTTCTTTCCCACTGACTTGGTATGTGTGATAGATGTGTGGAGTCCATAGAGCTGGCTAGACAAAAATGACCAGAATGTTTATTTTCTTGAACTTTTTCCAAATTATAGCTACTTAGTTAACAGTTACTCTGGCTAGGACTCTATGGGACATGAGAACTATTTGGTTTTGTTTTTCTATTTCTGTGCCCCTCTTATCACAGCTAAAAAGAAATATATCCTGGTTTAGTCTGGGGCTTTAGGCCTATGAGCCATCTACCAACCAATAACGCCCTGCTAGCTCTTTCAGACACCCTGTGACTGGCCCAGCTCTACTCCGTCCGGGTGAAAGGTTCTAACTATAACTTTGTGTAGGTGAATGGTTTCAACCCTACTATCACTGAGGGTTTCTAGGCCCAGCTCCCAGAAATTAGTGACATTTTAGCTTTTGATTTCAGATAAGCTCTTTTTCTGAGAAGGAAACAAACATATTTCCTTGTAGTTTTTATTATACATACAGCACAATATATTGCAGATTTTTTTTTTCAGACAGTAGTGTAGCGGACTGAAGATGCAAAATCCAGCTTTTCAAAAACCATTTTTATATTAGAAAAAAAATATTAGAGCTTTTGGTTATAGGCCGAGGGGTGGTGGTGAACACCTTTAATCCTAGTACTCAGGAGGCAGAGGCAGGGGGGTCTCTCTGAGTTCAAGGCCAGCCTGGTGTACAGAGTGAGTTCCAGGACAGCCAGGGCTGTTTCACAGAGAAACCCTGTCTAGAGAAAAATAAAATAAAATAAAAAAGCTTTTGGTTATAGTGTGATGTCTTATTGATGTTCTTTGCAAGAAAACCAAACAAAACAAAACCTCTCAAAACCCTGAGACTAAAGTACTGAGCTGGCAGCTGATAATTTTTCCTCTTGGAATTTCAAGTCTGATTCAAGAATGCAAAGTTTTTTTTAATTATTTATTTATTATGTACGTAGTATTCTGCTTACATGTATGCTTGGATGCCAGAAGATCTCATTATACATGGTTGTGAGCCACAATGTGGTTGCTGGGAATCGAACTCAGGACCTTTGGAAGAGCAAGCAGTGCTCTTAACCTCTGAGCCATTTCTCCAGCCCCAAGAATGCAAAGTTTTGTGAAGACTGAAGATCGGCCTATGCTCTAAGCCATCACTTTATTCCAGAGCTGACTGATTTGTTCAAGTTTCTAGATTATTTTCAAGAAGTTGGGGTGGCATAGGGTTTTCTTAGGCTTTAGTTGTAAAGGTCTAAAATGATACTTATTTAGACAGAAAATTAAGACAAAAGAAACGAATTCTTTAGTTTTACACAGATTACAACTTTCCTGTCCCTTTATACAACACTTCTGTCAAAGATGTTTTAAACACTTCAGCACTAGATCAGTGTCTAGCACAGAGCAGGGCCATGTTTACTGATGCAACAACCAGATCCTTTTCCTCAGTTAAGCCAATAAACCAGGGAGAAATAGATAAATGACTTACAAGTGTTGGGATTTAGGCAATTTTATCTTGTACTGTTCTTTCCTTCTAAAAGGTTCTCAGGCTCTTTGCCTAAACAGGTCTAAGATGCAAATTTAATGCATACAAATTGGTCTGGAACACTGTGGTGCTTCATCCTTATGGGAAATCAGACCTCTGGGATAAGAAGGCTCTGTTGTTTATAAGTAGAAATATGCCATTCATTGTTCCTCTCATTTTATTACTTGGGCCATGTATTTTTTTTTTTTTAAATAGCAGACATCTCTCTCTCTCGCTCTTCTCACTCTGCTCTCTCTCTCTCTCTCTCTCTCTCTGTCTGTGTGTGTGTGTGTGTGTGTGTGTATGTGTGTGTGTATGAATGTGAGGTGTATGTGTATTACATGTTTGCAGTTACTGGTGGGTGTCCTCTGTAACTTCCTTTGAGGCAGGGTGTCTCCCTGTAATTGGATTTACATTTCTTTTTGGCTAGGCTGGCACTCAGTAAGGCCCAATGATCCTCCTGTCTCCTTCCCGATAGGTGCTGGGATTGCAGCCATGCATGAGACCACACCTGGATTTTTTATGTGGGAATTGGAGTCTGAACTGCTGTTAATTGCTGATCCATCTCTTCAGCCTCAAAGACTGACTTCTTTTAGTGTGTGTGGCCAGGTGTTCATGTTGAACAAAGAATTAAAAAGAAACTATTATGTGGGCATGTGTGCCATTTTGTGTGTGTGAAGGTTAGTGGACAACTCTGTGAAGTGGGCTTGCTCCTTCACTTTTACATGGGCTCCTAGGGTCAAACTGAGGTCATCAAGCTGCTGCAGCCAAGTGTCTTAACTGCTTCGCCATCTTGCTAATCCTAAACACAGATTTTTAAACAATATAACTTACCAAATACTTTATCTGGGTCTGGATCCATCTTACCATTGCAGGAAGAACTTTGGGCTGTCCTGAGAAGTTATTGCTATATTACAATGCCTGCCAAAAACAGTATTCACTTAAACGGTGAGCCCAAGCACATGAATTTTGGTTGCTCCAAGAGATTCCATCGTCGATGTAGTTAGGTGAGATACTACTAGTTACAGAACAAAGTCATAAATTAAGTCATTTACCAGACACATCAGTAGGGATCACAGATAGGAAGGCTAAAGCAAAACTGGGAAAACACTTACCTACAGTAGTTTAGGTGTTAACTAATGATACCATTAGCTTTTGGATTGGCAAAAACCAGTGGTGATCTAAGAATATGTTTTAAAAGCCGGGCGGTGGTGGCACACACCTTTAATTTCAGTGCTCAGGAGGCAGGCAGATCTCTGAATTCGAGGCCAGCCTGGTCTACAGAGTGAGTTCCAGGACAGCCAAGGCTACACAGAGAAACCCAAAACAAAATTAAAGACCCTCATAGTCACAAAACTTCGGTTAGACGGGGTGGACAGTGAATGAACTTCAGAAAGGGTAAAAATAATCCATGCTAATTAGGTTCCACAATTACAGTTAGGTTATTTGGCCTTCTAGAATCTAACGCATGCTTTTTTGTGTGTGTGTTTTGTGTCCCGTCCGTTCTCGCTCCCCCTTCCCTCTCCCGCCAGTGTACTTGACAACAGGAAAAGATGGTGTGAGCTTAGCTTCACCCGAACTAAGGAGGGCAGTTGAGAAACCCCGGTAGCATTGCTTGTTCGTGGCAGAGACGCGCTGCGCAGTTGGGGGGAGCTGCATCTGCAAGCGGCTTGCATCCGGCAGGAGCCTGCGGGACTAAAGGATTGGCGGCGGAACTGAGGAACGCTGTCACCCGAGAGTGGGCGGACACAGACCGGAGGCCGGACACTGTGGGCCAGGAAGGACCGCCCCTTCCGGTGTCCCGGTTGCGTTCGCCGCTTGGGCTCATGGCTGCTCTGGGTCGGCAGGTGAGGTTGCCGTAGGTCCCGGGCTCACAGCGGCCGTGGACGGGACGGGACGGGACGGGGAGGAGGCACCGCCGCTGCTGCTTTGTGGCCACATCCGGTCACTCTGTGGCGGTAGCGCTCCCGGGCGGCGGGTGCACAGACAGCCTGGTCCTGAGATGAGCCGCTGGCTTCTACGGAGTTGGCCAGTGTGGCGACTGTGGGCCCAGGAGGCCTGGACCCCCGAGACGGGAGAGGGGGCTGGCCACGCTAGAGAGGGCTGGGGGCCGGTGTGGCGGGCACCGGGTGCGTAACTCGTTATGTGCTGCGCTTCAGTGCCCACCAAACGTCAGTGACTAGCAGCCCTCCGTGAAGCTCAAAGTATTGGTCGTGCCCGATTCCCGCGTCTTCAGTAACTGCTGTTGTCTATATGCTCATTTCCTTCCGTGGAGACTTTTTAGGACCAGAGGTTTTACGGATAGTTTATAAAAACTGTGAGCTTTTATGGGCCAAAATACTCCGGCTCAGTGATCTTGTGGTGGTCATTATCCTGAGGTAGAGCTGATTCTGCTTGGGCTGTCTTACAGGTTTGTGACTGGCACCGTCTAACGGGCCTCTCCTGGGCCTGTTTGTCTAGGCAGACTTCTCATCTCAGAGAACGGAAAAGGATGAGTCCTGCCTTGTTCTGCAAACTGACCACAGTACCCAGTGGAGAGAGCCTTCGAGAGTCGTCCTGTGTTAGACCCCAAAAGTATGTGCTGGCACCAGAGCACAGGACACATCTTGTTCAGTGTCTTCATGAGGATCGGGGGACGAGTGTGGAGCCCAAGTCCTTGGAGTTTGAAAAGGTCACCAGTTCCCTCCAGGACATGGGTTTCGATGAAGCCCATGTTAACAGTTTGCTCAGCCTACAGCCAAGTGTCCATCCTCAACAGTTGCTGGACATAATTTCAGAATTTCTACTCTTAGGGTTGCACCCAGAACCTGTATTTGTGGCCGTGACGAAAAGTCCACAGTTACTGAAACTGTCCACGATGCAGATGAAGAGGCGTTCCAGTTACCTGCGGAAGCTTGGGCTTGGAGAAGGTAGATGAAGCAGCAGACTTGGTAGTGTGAGGGAGTCAGAGTTAGTGAAGAAGTAGCCTGCTTAGCGGGGGTGGCCAGCCTTTCGATATTGTGACATGCCATGCCATCTACAAATGTGTTAGGCTGCATTTGTAGCTGTCCTAGAAGCATGCGGGCTTCGGGCTAAACACACCTTAGTAAGGTGATGTGAGGTAGGAAAGTTTTCCGAGGAAACGTCTGATGGGCCCTCTGCAGAAGGCATTGTAAGAGGGATGAGAGGAAATTAGCCAGGAGGAGAGAACCAGGCCAAAACAAGTCCCGTGTGTTCTGTTCATTGAGGTCTCTAGCTCCAGAACAGTGGGGACATGAAGTCTGGTTTTGGTGGGTTAGTGTTGCTATGTGGTATCGGTATATGTGTATGCATCCATACATGTGACATCTGCAAAAACATGCCGTGCAGAAATTTGACCTGGTGGTGGTGGTGCCAGGTCCCTGAAAAGCTGGTAGAGAGGCCTTCTCCCTTCTCCTGACTGTTGCCGTTCTTCTGGAGAAGGGAGATGGGGATGGATCTCCAGGCTTCTCTACCCATTTGACCAGTTTTATTTCTTTATTATTAACTGTTCCTGGTAAGAGTTTTACCCATAAGTAGGGAGGTTTAGAGTCCACTATGCTTGGTGTCTCTACAGGCCGCCTTCTCTAGAAAATAAACAAAAAGATAACTATATTCCTCTTGACAGATTTTCTTTTACAGTGTCATCTAAGTCTAAGCTCAGTCAGTATTGCAGCACAACTTGAGAGAAGAAAATAGAGCACATTTTGGCTGGGTGTGGTCGAGCACGCCTTTAATCCCAGCATTTGGGAGGTGGAGGCAGGCGTATCGCCATGAGTTCCAGGATAGTCCCAGCTACACAGAGAAAACCTGTCTTGAAAAAAACAAAAAACAAAAAACATAAAACAAACAGCTGGGCAGTGGTGGCGCACACCTTTAATCCCAGCACTTGGGAGACAGAGGCAGTTGGATCTCTGTGAGTTCAAGACCAGCCTGGTCTACAAGAGCTAGTTCCAGGACAGTCTCCAAAGCCACAGAGAAACCTTATCTCAAAAAAAAAAAAAAAAGAAAAAAGAAAAAAAACAGAAACCAAAGGTGGTGGTGGTGGGGAACATAAACTAAAAACAAACAAAAAAAGCTTACCCTTTGGAAATTTATCTTCACATTGTAGTGAGACAGAAACAGTGGCCAACTAGGCTGTTGGGAAACTATTTCACAGTCTAAGTGGTTTTTAAGTTTGCAGCTATTAAACTTGCCAATATTCGTAACAAAATTGGCCCAACGATAATAAGACCATTTACTCCCCTTTGTCTGGGACAGTCCCTGTTTATACCAGTTGTCTGAATACGGTTACTAATGTAGCTCACAATAAACCACTTGGAGGCCAGGTTAGGGATGTAGGGATCTGAGAAGAATCTCCTCTCCTCTCCTGTCTCTCTCCCCCCACCACCCCACCCCTCGGAGTGTATGTGTGTGTATCTGTATCAGTGGGTGTTTGGTGGTTGTACAGGTTCTGGGGCACTTGTGGATGCCATAAGACAACTTCTAGAGTCAGTTGTTTGCTTCCGCATGTGGGTCCTGGAGATTGAACTCATTATCAGGCTTGGTTTCAGGTGCCTTTACCCACTGACCCATCTGCCAGCCCCTAGGTGTTGTTTAATCTTAAGTTACATGCTTCCCTTTTCTTAATGATCTGCAGGCAAACTAAAGAGAGTGCTTCATGGTTGCCCTGAGGTTTTTACCATGCGTCAGCGGGACATTGACAATGTGGTGAAGGTCCTCAAGGAGAAGTGTTTATTCACAGTACAGCAAATCACCGAACTTTTGCACAGGTGCCCGGGTGTTTTTCAGGAGGACCCCAGCGAACTAGAATACAAATTCCAGGTGAGAATAAGCGATTGGGCTCATGATGGCAGCAGGGTTTTCAGGTTTTTAAGTTGAGTAAGGTCAGCTGGGTGAACAAGGAGCCTCTGAGCAGGGCTAAAAGCACCTGTTCTAGAACAGCGTAGCTCAGTTCTTCTCTTCTCCCCTCCAAAGAAAGCCTGTCCTTCCACTTCCTTAACAGTGAGTGACTAGCCCCATTCTAGGTCCAAGGAGGCCCTCTGAAATAACTAATTTTGAGAATGCTAAAACTTTACTACCCTTAGAATGTCGTTTTGTGTGGGGATTTGGGAAGTGTGACAGTTGTCCTAATAGTTTAGTAACAGGTGTGACAGATAAGGTCAAAAGAACTTGTGCAGCTGGGCTGGGTGGTGCACTCAGGAGACAGAGGCAGGTGGGTCTCTGAGGCCAGCCTGGTTTACAGATCGAATTCCAGGATAGCCAGAGCTATGTAGAGATCCTGTCTTAACAACAACAACAAAACCAGAACAAGCAAACAAATGAGAACACTGTGCCAGCATTGAGTTCAGATCCCCAGCGTACATGTGGGGAGTTGGGAGATAGAGACAGGAGACACCCTGAAGGACTGTGGACCAGCTAGCCTGGCCTTTGACCTTCATTGGCCTTCTATGACATACTCAATAGTTGCGCATAAAAACTGTGTACTCACACTTTTTTAAAAAAATTCCTAGGTATCTTACAACTTCTTTGGGTAGGATTTTCCTATACTCAGGATTTTTGTTCCCCCATTTAAAGAAAAGCATATTCCTCTACACTCCTTTGTCTGCTGCATTTTTCTCAGCATGAATTTGAATATACTTTGAAAGCTGTCAGATTTCACATAAGTGTTGGTATTAGAGAATGGCTATTCTACTGTTACTAATGGGGTGATTCTTTCCTAATGTTTTTGGATATTGGTGCTTGAGGATGCTACTCAACCCTTTGTTGTGGGCTTGACTGTCTTTGAACTAATGTTTGTTTTGAATTGAAATGATAGGCCTTAAGGTTCTCTACATAGCTTCCTAAACATGATTGTGTCTTCCAGTATGCATATTTTCGGATGGGACTTAAGCATCTGGACATAGTCAGGAGTGATTTCTTCCAGTATTCAGTAACCAAGATCAAGCAGAGGCACATGTACTTGGAGCGCCTTGGACGGTACCAAACCCCTGATAAGAAGGGGCAGACACAGATCCCTAACCCTTTACTAAAGGACATTCTCAGAGTTTCTGAAGAGGAGTTTTTGGCCAGGACAGCGTGTTCCTCTGCTGAGGAGTTTGGAGTTTTTAAAAAGCTCCTGGATCGAGAAGAGGAGGAATCCAAGAGCCATGCATCAGAAGGAGGAGAAGGAGAAGAGGAGGAGGAGGAGGAGGAGGAGGAGGAGGAGGAGGAGGAGCTGCTGTGATGGAGGACTGGGATGAAAAGGGCCCAGAGATGCCAGACATCGTTCTGATTCTCAAAGCTTTGGGGAGATCACCTGGATCTTCTCAAGCATCTTTAATACTAACTCTTGTTTTTTGATGAAAAAAAAAAGTTGTGATCCATCAGAGATGTAGGTTCATCAAACCAAATAGAGAATGCTGTATGGTCCGTTGGGTTCCTTGGGAGGCCTACTGAATACTAAATAAATAAAGGACTGAGCAGTTAAAATCCAGGGGGTGTAACCCATTCCATTTTGGTGTCTTTTTCTCTATTGAAATATGTTGGTGCTAATTCCAAAATCATTTAGAGAAAGAGGTGCTTTCTGGCCCAAGGGCCACTTTGTATATCCTTGTAGTAGTAGAGAGAAAAATCACAAGAATGTAGCATGAAGTATATATAGTATGTCATAGCACTTTATTTTATGAAAACACAATAGTCATGTTTTTATTCTGACATTTCACGGCCCTCTAATGTGTTGAGTGTACAGCAGAGTGAAAGGCGATGATTAGTAACGTATTCTTGAGTTTTGTAGTCTTCAGATTAGCAAAACACTTCACACCTGTGAGTTGCTGACCCTTCCTGCTTAGGCAGGCTGGCCTTCATGTGGATTCCTGGCTTGTAGCCACTTCAAGGCCTAGTATCTTTGGCTCTTCAGCCTGTGCAGCCAGAGTGAACTGGCTCAAAACTGGCACTGTGAGGGCTGGGGGTGGTCTGAGATGGACATCCCTTCCATCTTCTGTATGATAGATGAAGAAGAGCACAGGCCCGGGCCTGACTTTGGTTTGTTCTAGGAAGCTTTCAGATACCCTGACGTGGATATCACCCTGGGGAGCATGGTGAGTGTCTCCGACTGATGTGAAGTACTGGGACTGGCTGGCGTGAGGTGATCTCTGAGGAGAGACCTGGTTTGGTGGAGCTAAGGCTCAGAGGATTGAGGCCTCCTAGAAAGTTGTCTGTGGCCCTACCTCAGGAAACTGCACAGGGTTGGTGATGCAGAAAGCTTTTTTTTTTTTTTTTCCTACTTGGTGACATTTAATAGTCATATGAAACCTCTATGTGGGCTTTGTGTTTTCTATGTAGACAGAATCCAATGCTTACATAGGGATGACCCCGATCCTCAAGACATCTGAAAGTCTTTGGAGGTGTTTTTTTGTGTGTCATGGCCCTGTGATACTGTGGGTAGAAGCCAGGGATACTGGAAAATACCCTATGTTGCACTGCAGTGTCAAAGCTGAAAAACTGCCCCACCTGGCCCAGTAAAGTAATGTGACCATAACAAATTTGGATTGTAAATGGACTTGGGGAATTTATTTCTGTCTAAGGTAGAGGTGTATTTTGTGAGGAATCAGCATCAAGGTGCAGAGGCTTTGGCCTCACCCGGTGCCTGATTGCAAAGAGGAGGGTGTTTACAAAGAAAAGCAGTCATTCCAAGACCCCCATACAATCAGAGCTCCCACTATGGCAGCTATGTAAGGCAGGCTAACTCCTGGCAAAGGTGTGTCTGTCTGTTCGACTCTCCACACAAAGCAAGACACAGCAAACCATCCTGTCTACCACTAGCAGCCCATGGGCAGCGGAGGAGGGAATGCTTCCTATCTGGTCTTGGTCTGGACAAAACTCTGAGAACAGTGATATTCATTCTTTGCTGCTTACTCTCCCACTTTGTGGCATCAAAGTAACCTCCACTTTCCCTGAATGTAGGATGTTTGGCCTCGGGTTCCATCAGAGCTCAATAGAACCCTAACCCTGAGCTTAATTAGGTGTCTGCTCATCCCATATTTTGATTAGCAAATGTCGAGTCCAACGACTGATGATTGCTTCTTGATTTTGACACAAAAATAAATCTTTACACCTTGTCAATCTTCTGATTCCACTGTGACATTTCCCTAGTGGACTGTTCTGAAGGATGTAACTCTGCTTATGAAAGCTGGGAGAAAGCAGGGGCAGAGACATCACATTCAGGGTGCTTCACACCACTTCCTCAGCACCAGCAAGTCTCTCCCCTCGGACACATTGGGACCATTAACTGTGCCACAGCTCCACATTCAGTCGGCAGGGTCCACACACAGGCTCCAACTGGAAACAGGAATGTGGCAGCGTGTGCCTGGCGGGTGAGGCGCCTGAGGTCATCAGTGTAGTATAAAGATTTCATATACATTTCCAGTGATATCACTTGGTCTTGCCATTCACTGTAGCTTATGTGGAGAGATGGTGGCAGGTCTCAATGTCACATGGAAGTGACATGCATGTTTGTGGACCTGGTCTCTGAGCCCTGTCTTTGGCTCTCCAGGTCTCTAGATAAGTCAGTGTGTATCTAAGTTACAGTAGTGAGTTATTGACTTGACTGTTCCATCTTCCTGAAAAAAGAAAAATTGCATTATACACAGGCTCAAAGTTTTAGTGAAAATGTTACTCTTCAAAGTATGTTTTTGTGAACTGGAGGGCAGGAGGCCTTTGGTCGGGACGTGGTTCTCGGTGCTGGATCACCAGTCAGGTCAGCGCTGCTCTTGAGGGATCTAGGTGTGGTTGGTTGGCTTTTCTGGTTCTGACGTCACTGCCAGAAGACGGTTGCTTAGAGCCTTGTTGAGGGTGGGATGGAAAGCAGATGCCACATAGTGTGTTTGTCTTGGTAGGCCACACCATCTACTTGAGGTACGGATTACAAGAAGCCCTGGACACTCCTGGAGCCTGCCTGCCCTGTGCCACTATGTGTTGCCTGTGGTGTATGCATCTCTTAGGTTTCCGAGCAAAGATCTTGACTTTCCTTCTCTGAAGGTTCAGCGGTCTTCATGCCTTGATGGCGATTTGTCATTCAGGAGGTGACTTTCTAGAAGACGGAGGTCCAGATCATCTCATAAAACAGGTACCTGCCAACTGTGGCCTACTGCCTGCTTTTGTGAATGAAGTTTTATTGGAATACAGCCTTCCTATCTATACCTGTGACCATGTTGGTAGTACAGTAGCAAAGTTTGGTGGGTGCCAGAGAGGTCATTCCATCTGAAAATCCAAAATACTCTGTCTGCCCTGCCAACCATGAGTTGTAGATCACATGTCTAAACTCTGTCATAGTAGTGATTAGCATTTCTTCTTTAGGTCAGTATAAATGAGAGGAGCAGGGTGGAGCTCATCTGTTTCCACATGGCCCTTCTGGCATCTTTTGTGAAAGCTGGGTCTTTTCTTCTCTATATTTTGAGGGCTCAAGGGACACTGCTCTGACACTGGAGTCTGGGAATGGGTTCTAAGGACTGAGAAGCACCACTGACTGGGAGCCTGCTCACCCAGGTAACTGACACACTATACTCACAGAGGTCCTGGCTAGAGTTTCAGAAAACACCCTGGCTTAAGATGACAGGTGCTTCCCTTGCAGGAGTGCAGGTCTGGCTGACTGTCTCCTAGAAACCAGAGGACACAGGTCTTAGGGGAAACCAACCACAGCCAGAAACTGGTGTCATGTTTAAGTTTTGAACCTCATCTTTCTGGGTTTTGAAAATTCTTGAGGTTGGCAGTGTTACCAGCACATGTGGACCCTTTTGAAGGAAGAGCAGTACAATCCTCTGAACACCACAGCCTTTCTCTGGAGGCAGCAGGCACTGTCCCCCAGGGGACCCGTATTCATTCTTGCATCACCAGAATCCCGGCTGGCTGTGATGCAGAGGGATGGATGTGAGGACACCTGGGCTCAGCCTGTGGTTTTCAATTGGAATCAACAGGCTTCTGGTCCTCTGCTGCCTTTCTTCTGGTGAAGGCCTTGGGTCTTTTCCCAGGGGAGCCTTGAATGGTAAGTATTGGTGAGTGTGTGTGCATGTGTTTCCTGTCTCTCTTTCCTGTTGCTCAGAAAGTAAGTGTTCTATAAGCCAGTATGAAGTAAGTAGCTGTGGTGGTGGCAGGGATACTCATTTTTAATATTTCAAGTGTCTTATTGCCATATACATATTTTAAAACCAAATAATTTGTGGATTCTTGATCTCTGTGGGATTGAACTGCTCACAGTGTTGGAGGGTGTTTCTCGTGTGCACCTTGGAGGCAGAGGTGAGATGGCGGTGTGGTTGAGTGGACAGGATTTGAATGTTGTCAGCTGCAGGGTTTTCACATCTGATGGTGAAAATGCAAAGGCCTGGCTGCTGGGTCTGACTGAGAGCCTGGCTGACCTATCTGTGCAGATGCCCTGCCTGCTTCTGTGAGCTTCGCCTGGTGCTCCTTTATTGTTCTTGGGCCTTTGTGTGTCACTTCTGCTCCATGTCCTCTAGAAGAAAAAGGTGACTTGCTGCTGAAGTGGCTGGCTCTCTTCCACCACTGGAAAGGTGGCACTGTTCTGGCTCTCCCAAGCGAGAGGAGTAAATTGTCTCGGGTCAGCCAGTCTGTCATTCCCAATTGATGTTTCGTCAGTATGAAGTCACGGCTGAGCTGAGTTCAAGCTATACAGCAGTCTCTGCAGAGTAACCCAGTATTTTCCAGACTATTGTGGGAAAAAAATTCAATGCCCTCTAACATCTCACAGTTTATGCAAGGGGTGGTGGGTGGGGCATGCTGGATCAAACAGGCAGTTTCTTTCATTTCAGGGCTATTAGTACTTAGAATTCCAGGATCCAGTATAACTCTCCCAGTGAGAGGCTCTATTTAGGGTCAGCTGGACGTTACATGACAAGGCTCCCATCCTATTCTCCCAGTAGAAAGTCATCCATAGGGTTTGGGGTACTTGCTTAGGTCCTTCCCAGCACCCCCAGGGGTGTTTGGCATCCTTGATCCTTCTACCACCCAGGTCCACTGCCCTGTGGTGGTCAGGTGATTCTTGTGCCTCACTGTAACTGGTCTGCTGAGAGAGAGAGAGAGAGAGAGAGAGAGAGAGAGAGAGAGAGAGAGAGAGAGAGAGAATTTCCCCTCTTTCATAAGGAGAAGTCTCATTTCCACCTGCAAGCAGATTCGAATGCAAGGCCAGACCAGGTTGTGTCTATTGGGAGGCTATAGTCAGGGAATTCTGGAACTTTCCTGGTTGGGTCTGTAACAGCACAGTGCTGAGTTTTAGTTTGTGCCATCGGTGTCTGATAAAGGACCTCATTGCTCAAGGTTCTGGGTGTGGTGGTGTCTCCAGTTCTCAACAGAGCTTGTAGGAAGGAGAGTGTTTTCGCCTTAAGATTTCTTCATTGTTTGACTGTCACTTTGTTTCCTGAAATAATTAAGAAAACAGGTTTGTCGAAAAAGAATCTCGTGTACCTTAAACCCTACCTCTGTCAA